TGGTTAATGAGTCTGATTTTACTAGTTCCAATGGTTAATGAGTCTGATTTCACTGGTTCCAATGGTTAATGAGTCTGATTTTACTAGTTCCACTGGTTAATGAGTCGTGATTTCACTGGTTCCAATGGTTAAATAGTCTGATTTTACTGGTTGCATTGGTTAGTGGTGCAAAGCCTCCTCACCCTGCAGCACCCTGATCTGGGACCTTCATAAAGCCCATGTCTTGGTTCTGGGCAGACTGGCGTCCAGAGCGATGCTGGTTCTGTAGACGGGGCAGGGTGGGCTGCTCCATGGTGGTCTGCTTTCTGAGCAGGGATTGTCTGGAGGAAGTCTGCTGGCCTCGATGTGCACTGCCGCCTCTGAAAGGTGCTGCTGAAGTGACAAATAAACCTATAATAATAATTTTGACATTCAGACAGAGATGTTCTGACACCTGAAGTTGATCCTCATGTACCTGAGTTGTTCTGCTTAGTGGGCGGAGCCCGGTTGCCCATGTATTGGCTCTTACGTTTGTCTTTCCTTGTTGGTCCTGCAGATCAGACAAGACAGGAAGTGACAGAAACAGACAGGAAGTGATGTGTAGCAGACACAAAGTTCTAACTCAGTAGCAGAGCTCTATTAGAACTTACTAGAATTTTTGGGAAGACCTGGTCCGATGGAGACTTGCAGGACTTTCCCACTGGGCTTCAGTACTGCTTCATCTCCCTGACCCACCTGGAACTGGATTTGCCTGAAGCCAGAAGAGCTGAATGGACCCCAGCCACCCTTCTTCACCTTAAACTCCAGACTGGAGGTAGATATGTGGAGGATGGAAACAGCATAAAAGTTCTGAAAGTCCAAACTCAGAGCATGTCTGTACACCTACAGTATTTAACACCTGTGTCATCAGTGCTGCTCCTGACCAAACGTATTATTTTATAAACCAGACATGTTGAGTTTTTACTTCTTCTTTGAGAAACCAGAATCAACCAACAACGTTTCTGTATAAAGGAAGGTCACATGATAGCACTCTGTCTTTACCAGAACAGTGTTCTGAACCAGGTCTGATCAGAACTCTGTGGCAGGTAACAGGTAGACACTTCCTGCTTAGCATTAGCAGCTAACACTAAAGACCTACAGCTCATTCAAACATCAAAACATGAACCATTTATTACAACAATCCACCTCATGCAAAGACACGTGGAGCTAAAGTGTCAGGACAGACGTGGACAGGCTAATGACACCCAGACAGGAAGAGAAACCGGGTATCAGGACACTTACCCCCCAACAATTAGTCCTTTCAACCAAGAGTTTCAGGACAGGTATTAGTGTGTAAATAGACATTTGATTTCTAATATGATTTAAATATAGCACAGTCCTGAATGCATCAGTTATAGTTCAACTTAAAATAGAGTTTGTTTGTTTTTTGGAGGTTAATAAAATAATAATTCATTATTATTATCATCATCATCATCATCATCATCATCATCACTATTATTATTACCACCACTAGGTGGCATAGTGGTGAATTCACACCAAGGAGTTTAAATGAAACTACTGGATTGTTCAGAAAGCACGTGGGTAAATGTCCTAGTGGGGTATATGTCTTAGTGGGGTATATGTCTTAGTGGGGTATATGTCTTAGGGGGGTAAATGTCTTAGTGGGGTATATGTCTTAGTGGGGTA